CTGAAAAGTGTGACTTACCCTGAGCTCTCTAGTGAGTTTCATGGCTGAGTAGGAATTCAAACACTGCTCTCCAGAGTAGTAATCCAACATTTCAACCAGTACACCACACTGGCTCACTGGATTGCCACTGGATTATGCTGACTTTACACTTCCTTGAGTTGGCCAAAATTCATGCCGTGAAGATGATTTCAGATATCTGTGGAGTTAAGTGTGGTTCCCAGGATAAAGTATCTTTTATGTATATAGCACAATCCTACACAGCTTGAAGGATCAAATCTATCAATTGATGGACTGTTACTATAGTTCTGTATATCCCAAATAGCATATATGTGAAATAATGAAGGCAGGAGGTGGCCAAGGTAGTCGGCTGCTGGGACTCAGACATCAAGAAGATTTGCCATTACCTTTTTGTAGGATCCAAGGGTAATTTGTACTGGATTAACTATTTTAAAAAAAATAGTAAGTCTACTTGAAGAATTGTATGTGAATCTAATACAGACATTAAATTGACACAGAGGAAATCTATATGGAAGTGAATGCTTATGTCAGTTAGGGACTAATCTTGGCTGGGAGTGCCAGGGCTATATGATCCCTTACTGAGCTCCCAGGCATAATATTGCTGCTACTTCCGTGCAAAATGATTTCTAGTGTTATATTTATCAGTTTCACTATCAAATACCATTTTTAGCATCCGAATCACACAAGATCCTATCTAACATTAATAAAATATAAATAATGGCTGGCATCCTATTGGAAAGTCATTGTAAACTGGCTTACAACTGCATACATTTGATTTATGTGATGTTGCAAAGTTGACTGCAGTGATCTCATGAGAACCAAAATGTGGCTAAGACATTGAGGCCATTGCAAAAGTAGAGTCTGCACAATGTTTCTCAATATACATGTCCCCATGTGCAACATGTTTTGATCTGTAGTCACTTGATATGCAATGAGTGCCATTGTACAATGGGGAGGCCCCAGTGAACAACAGGACGTATGTTATGAATTGTTGCAATTCACTAGAATGCTTGTATATTGTGTCAGTGACCCAACTCCACCATTGTATAATTATACATTATAGCAGAATGTATATTAAACTTTTAATATCTGAATGCTATTTTCAATCTGAAATTTGCACCAGAGGAAATATTTTGACAGATCCAGAATTTAGTTCAAAGTGATCCTAGTTTTTGGTGTTTATAATCATATATAAATAGATTGATAGATAGTGGACCTCATCACATTAGAAAATCATCCATTTCTATCAGTATGCACCCCAAGTTTTTTTGACTGAATGTATACAGGCAGGATGCATACTGACCCCACCACATTCAAATACTATGATTCTTACCTTCAGAATATGCTGCCCTTTGTCCCATCACACCTTGGAAGGCTGGCTCTTCCCAATCTGTTCAAAGGATTCCCTATGTCCCTATGTCATTTTTTTTCCTAAATCTCCGAGTACCAAACTACTGCTCTCGCAAGATTTGAAAATTTGCATCTGTACAGTAAATGCATTTGTCTGATCATTACCTTTTGGTATGAAATACAGAGTTCTGAGGAATCTAATAATGCAAGCACAATGCACAATGTTGCTGTATGTGCATCTGCGCTTCTGTTAGCAGAATGTGTGGCTAATAATTTCCCCCATACATTAGGCTAATTTATGCATGTTCATGTCTCCAACATGATTCTGGTTTTTGTTTTTTTTTTAAGTATTGTTGTATGTGTCTGTAGCAGAGCATGGAATAAAGAGCACCTCACCTTTAGAGAAACTAAACTATCTGCTCCTACATTGAAGAAAGGCTGTGGGAGGCTGGAAGAATGCTGGGGTACAGTAATAATACTTATTTTTTTTAATATAACAAATAGCTGAGTAATTGAGAGGAATGTGTGATGAGAGTGTGGCAATGAGAAAGAAGGATTGAAAAGGAGAAGACTGAGAGCTAAGAAGGGAGGGCAACATGAAAATAATGGAGGAATTAAAGACATCAATCTGTCAACCTTTTGCTTGTGAAACTCGGTGGTTGTTGTCACAGGACATCCAACTCTTTGTTTGTCACGCAAGTCAGAAGTTCCCACCTCAACATCTTTAAACTTACTTGCCCAACAATGCACAGTACTCATATCAACACAATCACCATAAACAACTTGAATACTCTGATTAATCTCCTTTGGGGTGACACCTTCTGCTGTCAAGAATTCAATGACTGCACGTTGCTTAAGTCGCATTGACTGACCGTCTGCGCAGGTTTCCATATTTTGCATTTTAACAACACTAATGCTAAGGCTTCCCATCCAAATTTAGCTGAAGAGGAGAGTCTACTGAACAAGCCAGTACCTGTCACATACCAGTACTGCCATCTGTTGAGTTATGAAAGTGGAGGCATTACTTTTCATTCAACTCTCGTAATTTGATTCTTGCGAAGATTTATTTTCAAAATTGACTTGGACATCTGGAAAACATCCATATATAGAAAATACTTTTTCCTGTAAAATTTTTGAGCATCACTCTACTGATTTTTGCTCTTGTTGTAAACCGCGTTGAGTCGCCTACAAGGCTGAGAAATTGCGGTATACAAGCAAATAAATAAATAAATAAGTAAATAAATTATCCGAGAGGCTAATGCAATGGTCTGATGGTTACTACAATCCTTAGCTTCCCTTTCTTCGGGTTCAGAATGCATAGGGAGTGTTTTCAATTTGGGTGTCATTTATTTGCTTTCCATAATAGGTAAAGGTAAAGGTTTTCCCCTGACATTAAGTCCAGTCATGTCTGACTCTGTGGGTTGGTGTTCATCTCAATTTCAAAGCCGAAGAACCAGCATTATCTGTAGACACCCCCAAGGTCATGTGGCCGGCATGGTCATGTGGAGTGCTGTTAGTTGTTAATAAGTTCCATAGTAGTTGACAGATACTATTTAGAATTTGAATGAATTCTGTCTCTATTCCATGAAAAAATTCTATTGGTATGTTATTTTTCCCAAGTATTTTCTTTGCAGCTTCCATTTCATTTGCGAGAATTCTATGTTCATCTTCAAATGGTTCTTTTTTTAATGGCTCTGTCTTCCTTTTATTTCTCTTAAGTAATTCCTCACTGTATTGCTTCTACTATCTTTTCATTTCTTCTTGATCGTGTAGTGTGTGCCTGATGCTTGTATAGCGTTCCCACTCTTGGTTTCAATTTCCCTTTGATTTCTCAGATCTTGCAGAAGAGCACTCTTGTTCTACTTATTTTGGTGTCATCTCCTATAACTATGTATCAATTGTTCTAGTGATTTTCTTTGTTCCTGTGCACAAGTTTCTGAATAGCTGCATTCAGGAATCTAACCCTTTTATTTCTTGTCTGTCTATAACTGCTTGAAGAGTTTCATCTGAGATCCAAAGAAACTTTTATTTCCTTTCTGGTTGCAAACAATGTACGTTGGTATTCTTCTCTCACAATGGCACTGATTTCAGTTCAGAGTACGTCTTGTTCCCAGGCATGATAGGTTTAATCTACAAGAGTGTTCTCCAGGTTGTATTGTGGCATAATGATTGATTTGGCATGCTTTAGTTTTGGGAATTTGGGAATCAGCAAAGTTCTGGGTGACAATTGTCTCTTAGTCTTGTTTTACAGAGAGAATGCAGCTTCTCGGTCTTCTGCTTCCAATGATGTATTTATTTATTATTTATTTATTTACTTTACTTATATACCGCTGTTCTCAGCCCGAAGGTGACTCACGGCGGTTCACAACCAACAAGAACAGCAGAAATTCAATGCCAGATATAAAACAGTTAACAATCCAACAAATGTAGTCCATTTGATAATGTTCACATATGCAGTATTTGGTTCTGCTTTGTTTCTTATTTTGTCTTTTGATGAGATGATCCATGTTTTTCTAGACTCCAGCATTAAGTTTTTTAATTGGTTCCTGTTCTGCCACTGTACCTGGAGCATACATTTGGAGATGGATTTTCCTATTGTTATAATTGGTCTAAGCATTGTAGCCACTACATTTCTCTTCTTTGTTAATACCATACCCTTCTCTTCTTAGATTTGTATTTCCTGAGCAAATTATTATCCAGTTATCTATGTTACGTTCCTGCCACTTCATATGCAATATTTACATTTACATTTTAAATTTCTTGTTTAGCAATGTTTATATCATAAATGTATTGTCGAAGGCTTTCATGGCCGGAATCACTGGGTTGTTGTAGGTTTTTTCGGGCTATATGGCCATGTTCTAAAGGCATTTTCTCCTTTGATGGCCTGGCAGTGCCTGGGGCATTCTTTTGATGAGAGGTGATTAGATGTCCCTGATTCTTTCCTCTCTGTAATTTTAGAGGTTTTTTTAAATACTGGTTGCCAGATTTTGTTCATTTTCATGGTTTCCTCCTTTCTGTTGAAATTGTCCACATGCTTGTGGATTTCAATGGCTTCTCTGTGAAGTCTGACATGGTGGTTGTGAGAGTGGTCCAGCATTTCTGTGTTCTCAAATAATATGCTGTGTCCAGGTTGGTTTATATCATAAAGTTAGAAGAGAACACGGTGGCTCACTAACTCCTCACTTTGTAATACTAAGTTTATACAAGTTTGACATCTATGAGATTGCTATATTATAAGGCACTTAAAACATTCAGAGAGATATACTGAGTTCATAATTAGCAATAATACTCTTCAAAATTTACTCCCTGAAATTGTGTATTTCCAAATGTTTACTAACAAAGGAATCCCTGTGATGATAAGGAGAGATAGACACCTACAAAGATGTTCAAAACATTTGTAGTACTGAAACTTTTAATGTTATTGAAATTACGTTAATGTGCAAGTGATGAAAAAACACATAAAGATTCTTCTAATTAATATACCATATTCCTTTGTTTTTAAAAATAAATATGCTGGCTAAGTTACTTTTCCATGAATTGTTACCTCTTAAAAATTCAGTCATTTCATTATGGATATGAACCGTCTGGTTACAACTTTGGGGTATGTTTCAGAAATGATTTCTATTCACAGATTTTAGAAATTGTGTTTATTTTAAATACATAATACAAACTCAATATTAAATTTAGCAAACAATATGAAAAACTACACCGTTTATTTAATCATAACACAAAAAGACAGCGCATAACAAGAAATCGGTGCATTTCACATTTTTAAGAAAATAGTGTATTTTCATTATTGTTCCAGTTGCATGTGAATTGCACTCTTATACTACCTAGCTTGCTTTCACTATAAGACTATTAGCTATTTGTTCATCAAACAGGTTTCATAATGCTCTATCATTGTGAATTATTGACACTGTCCAAGCATAGCACAATTCCCAAAGCAAAAAGGTTTGCAGAAAATTCTATCCAGCCCACACAACTGCATAAACACTTAACTTTAAAAGCACACAGTCATAGTAGAGCCTGTACTACTTTTAAGAACTGTTTACAGTAACACTTCATTAGGGGTTTACAGTTGGGTTTATCTGAATGGTCCCTTGATTTTTTGCTCACCTTGGAACATGAATAAGTGGGCACAGTATCATTTTCAAATGCAGCAGGTTTAATTCTCCTCTAATTGTATCAAAGGATTAGTTTCCATATATTTCTTAACCTGTATTTTACTCAGGGGAATATAGATAGATAGATAGATAGATAGATAGATAGATAGATAGATAGATAGATAGATAGATAGATAGTGTGCGTATTGCAGTTGCCAGTTCTCACATTACCACCTGAAATCTCAAGGAATTGCTATAATTCTCCAGGTCTCCTGGTGGAAAGACAAATCTCGGGCAAATAATACTGGAGAAAGTATTATTTTTATATGCAAGGCCATTTTAAGCTCTGGACATATACCTCCGCCCATTCCAAGATGGCTCTCATGCTTAGTGTGAAGGGACTGTATGTGCAATGTTGGCGTGCCAAAAACCCAGGAATGAGGACAAGGAACTAAGGGAAGAGATGGTGGGTGCATGCACTTAAGATCAAGATGCTATTTAATGAAAGTGAGGAACGGAGCACATGTCACAATCCCTAAGCTTTTGTGTTGTAGAACCCGTACATGACCTGATGAAAAACTCTTGACTGCTGGTGGTGAGCCATCTATAAGTTTCAGCAGCTGCACAGGGCCCCTCAAAAAACCGTGTTCAGAAGATTCCCTGTAGGTTAAGGCCACATGGACTGCGAGCCCTAGTGAGAGTACTTGCAACTACTGCAGATACTAGACGTATTATTCTACCTACCAAAAATACCTGGGTTGGCATGCTATTCATGAATTGCAGTGCTGAAAGAGTGACTCACACAACTGCAATTCATTTTAATGGCCAGTGCATAGGTCATATATCTCTTCTGATCACACAATAACAAAAGGTCTCCCGAAACATATCTCTGAAGCAGTGTTGTGCCTCCTTGCCTTTTTAGCAGCACAGAAATGGTCATATTGGGACAAGATGCACTACTTGTAAGGTGGATGTTTTTGGGTAAGGGGGCAGTCATCGGAAGTTGTGGCTACAGGGATAAAGCGAAGGTTCTGTAGTTATATCTCCTGATGTAGGATCTTGGTCCAATTATTCTTCCTCCTGAGTTTGATATTCCCATTACCTGTTTGGTAGGGTTTATCTTATTTTTGATTCCACTCAGCCCAATTGCCTTCATGCATTTTACCATAATGAGCTGAAGCAGAATAAGTTTTGGCTTATCTGCCAACATTTGCTGCCCCCTCTCCCATAACATCAGAAGTCCTGCCCCTGTGCCATCATAAGCACAACAAAGTTAATGTTTGGGCCCTGAAATCTCAGGCAACGTGGTATGCATGTTCGGACACGTGAACACAAGGAAAGTTACCAGAACAAATATCTTTACAAAAAGTGGTAGATTTAAGCATTCAGACAGGCAAGTGCACAGATAGTTTAAAATACAACTAGGAAATAAACAGTACAGTTTTCTGATAAATAAAATTTCCACTTGGAACTGAAATGAATAGAATTACTCTTCTTTTATGAAACTGCCATTTCTTTCAATTTCCTTCTGGATGGTGTCCACCATTTTCTTCATTTTATCATTAAGTGTATTCATTCAGTTGTTTTGCTAGGAATTCATGAATAACAGCTGCTTTAAAATACTCTATATGAGAAAAATCAATGACTAGAACTCCTGAAAGGTTGGTATAAGCCACTGAAAATATTTTGAGAAGAGCAGAAAGAAAGTCTAATGATTATAAACAAAGGTTGAATCACAACAGCAAAAAGCATGCAATAGGGTCTCCTATATTTCTTTAAAAGCTAGCCAGAAAAAACAGTAGTCTATTGCAAAATCTTATAGAACATAAATAATTAAGCAGTTATATACCTGGGAAGTGTATGGGCACAATTCATTTCTAAATTCTCTTACACAGACCCAATTGAAATAAAAGGGAGCACCACGAGGGCACTCCTGTTCATTTCAATTTGGCTCAAACAAAAGCATTTTCAAGTCTTCATGCTTGATGTCTTTCGTTTTAAGGAAGAGGACCCATGTCCTCTGGCTGCCTGAATCTTTGTCTCTTGACCCTTTTTTCCCCTTCCTGCAGAGAAAAGACGATGGGCTGAGTGGATTATCCTCTTCTACTGATAGGAAAGCCAGTCATTTTGGCCTGAGTTTACATTTGCACCTATGGCTTGATTAACTGCGCAACTTGGGCCTCCTGATCTGGGCGCTGCGTCTTCAGAGAGAGAAGCTTGGACCTGTAAAGAATAATAAGAATGCAATGTAAATTTTTATGAAACATTAGGTAAATGCAGCCAAGGGCATTATATTGCAATCAGAAGTATTCTGTCTGAAATCAAATGCAGTCAGATGTCTTGGTTGGCACAAAGGAAAGAAAAAAGCTAAATGATTTCTGAAACCTCACTATGAACTGAAGGACTGCTATATCCATGCTAGTATGTCACATTTTGTATTTTCAGCAGAAGCAAGTTTCTTGTTTAATGAAAAATTTCCCATCAAACCAAGGAGGAAAAAGAATCCATAGCCAGCGTTAATATCTGTAGTCTCTGGCTCTTCTCTTCTTCACATGTGGGAGAGGATGATGGAAGAAAAAAACAGTGGGTGGATACAGTCATTAGTATTGACATAAAAGTGATAAAGAAAATCTAGGAAATAACTATACAATCTTGAGCTCCTTCTAAAACGACTATCAATTAGTTACTTGATTTTACCAGACAGAAGTGTATATGGAATGGAGCATACCTGTGGTGATCTTGCAAGTCTGAGAAATAAAAAGAATTAACATGGTCATCAGTGATAATTAGAAAAGTGAAGATAATTAAAATGTGTCTTCACTTCTTCACTTCACTTCTAATACTAAGAGCACAGTCCTATGATCTGCTCAGATTAAGTCTGATTTAGCCAGACAGAATTTACTTCCAGGCTCTACCAAAAGAGATCTTTACATTTGCAAATGATTCATTAACTTTATAATATACCCTGCTCTCAAAAATTATTTTCTCCCCTCTCAAAAAAAAAAAAATGTCCTGCCTAACCTTAGCTTAGGACACTAAAGATCATTCGGGAGCTGTGTAGTTTATAATGAACCTCTGCACTCACTGGAATTAATTAGTTAAACAATAATAATAATAATAATAATAATTATTATTATTATTATTATTATTATTATCCACCTCTCCTGATGGTTTGAGGCAATGTACAACAAAGTCAAAGCATATGAACATAAAATAGATACAATAAAATGCATGGAAAAAAAACACCAATACAAAAAAACATACACCAAACACATAAGCAAAAATAGCATGTAGTCGCAATAGAGCAGTTGGATGATTTTTTGAGTTGTGCATGTCCAACCAAGTAAGATTAAAACCAAATGAAAATATTTGGACCTTGGTCTGACTTGATTCAAATCAATCTGGATCCAATTGGACCTGATCTGGTCCCTGAATCCAAACTGAAACCTCAAAATAGCTGGTCTATCTTCACTGACATTCACTGGATAATAACAATTAAATTTTCTTATTGATTGTTCCTAATACCTGTAACTTTTGTAAAAAAAAAAGTATTTTAACCAATAAATGATTACCTTTTGTAGGAATGCTTTTCCTATCTCTTCTAATAATATTTATCTCCTTTATGGTTATTCTACCATAGTTACGATGCATTGCCTCCCAGATCCATTTGTCAAAAACACCCTCATAAAGATTGAAAAAGAATCTCAGTGAAACTTGGAAATTCATAAATATCACATCTCAAAATCCCAGAGGAAGAAATTGCCCTTTCTTTCTGGTAATCCCATGTTTTGGCTATCTCGACATCTACTAAAAGAAGCAGGAAAGGAAAGAAAGGACAAGAAATGAGGCAAATAGATAATCAGATAAAGAATCTTGACATCCTAGTATCCCCTGAAATACTAACCATACTTTCATATTAAAATACCCAGATCAGATAATTTCTTTACTGGACAGAATCTTCTTTAAAAATGTATGGATCCAGTTGGCGGAACCATAACATCACATAGTGTCTGAAAACCATCCACAAGAAGTGCATTATCACATGTGATGCTGAACTGAGGTACTTTCCTATTGTCTCTATACACTATTATACACAAACTCCTTTAAATTGCTTGAAAATCCCACTCTAGAAACCCTTCAGTGCATTAAGACAGGTTGATTCAGGAAACAAGGGTCAATCACAGTACACAATTGTTGTTGGAATGGGAATAATCTCAGCTGCATAGTATACTTAACCACAAATAGTTCAATATTTTCATGAGCTTTTCCTCTCATTTGACTTTTAAAGCAAAACATTCTTTCTTCCCAGCCACATCTCTCCTCCCCTTCCCTTGAAGCAAGTGGTGTATTGGTGTCAACTCACATACAATAAACAGTTCAGCATGAAAGAAGTTGATTAAAGCATTGACAAAATCAGGCCCTATCATTCCAGTGTAAAACACATAGCAGGGTTTTGACATCCTCACATCCAAAACAAACATCCCTTTCCCTCCAGATAGACCTACAGGACCAGAATGAACATGACTGTGAGCATTTCCTTTAACTGAGTGCAAGTTTGTTGAGCTATCTTTTATGGCCCCATAAAGCCTTTATATTGTGATCACCTACCTACTCCCTTTCCCATACCAGACATTTTCACTTCAACATAACATCACACACTACCAAAAAATATAGTTGGGTTGATCTTGAGACGAGAAAAAAATGAATCAGTATCTAGAAGCAAAAGTTTTATAGTAATGGGGGACTTAAAAGATCTCCAAACACATTACAAAAATGTGTTCTATTTAAACAACACTCACACCTCACTCTGTGATCTTGGCACAGTTTAGGATTCAGTCTTAGGTCACTATCACTTTGGTCAATTCCATTAGGTCAGGAGTGCCCAAAGTGGTGACCTAAAAGGCAACGCAAGTCCACAATTTTGTAGAAGGAAAGAAATAATTGTAGCCCTTGGGTAAAAACACAGTTCCACTTCCTGGCATATGGGTAGGTATGGGATTACTAGTTCTCCATATCAGACAGCTGAGAGTATTAGTATAGGGTATCTCGAAACCTCATTCCATTTTTTATCAATAGAACACATTTTTGTAATATGTTTGGTATCTGACCCCCCTGAAATGATGATGCAGGTACTTTCTTCCCTCTTGTGGAATAACCATATCCATGGGTCATATCAGAATCATAGTTTGGCCCCCAAATCTGCCATTGAACTATACATTAAGTCAACTTATACACAAGTATATACAGTATTTATCCCTATGAGATTAATTTACATTTCAAATAGTAGTAGTAGTAGTAGTAGTAGTAGTAATAATAATAATAATAATAATAATAATAATAATAATAATCTTTATACCCCACCTCCATCTCCCCAAGGGGACTCGGGCGGCTAACATGAGGCCATGCCCATCAATACAGAAAACACAATACAACACAAAAACACAACAAAAAATCAGAAAATAATAAAATATTTTTTAGATATTTTTTGTATCTTATGTTATAATAAAATAACATAAGATACAAAACCAATCTAAATCTAAAAAACTAAACACCCAAGAAATATATACGCTTTGAAGACATTACAAACTTTCCCTCATTGTCTGCTTTCCATGGTCACATTCTCCAAACAACTAGATGTGTTGACAGGGAAATGTGCCTAAACTTACATTCATGATATCTATTAATTTGCAGATCTCCACATACATTCAGAAAGCCTTTCAGACTTTGGATGGGAGAAATATCACACACCACAGCTCATTGCCTTTAACATTATAATAATATAAAGTGTTTTATTGAATTATTCACTATATTTTTTTACTATATTATTACTTTTAGTTCCACTTAGTGTCAATGCCAGTATTAGCAGTAGCAGTTTTTCATTCATAACAATCATGTCGTTTATGTTTTATACTGTGTTTGCCTAAATAGTTTACAGACACCAGATTCCCTCTTAATTTTAAAAGCTAAGCCTAGTTCGTTCTTGTATGGGATACGACCAATCAATACAAGCTCCTGTGGGCTATATTTCAGAGGAACTGTGAAAACCACTTCCGAGTATTCATTATCTAAGGAAACCCCATGAAGTTCATGGGGTCAACACACATGTTGTCAGGAGACTTGAAGGCAGGCACACACACACAAACAAAATAAAATTAATATAAAAACGCCACACCTAGATTTTACTGCAGTTCGGGGTCCAAATGAGAAAATGTGAATTCCTCAAGCACTGAGTCTAGCTACCCACTAAATGGTTTAAGCAGTTGTCTCATCTTAAACTAATTATCTTCCAAGCATAATGAAGTAGGAACTGTGGAATAGAAAATGTATTTCAAGGAAGTATTCAAACAATTTTAAAATTAGAGACTATACTGAACAAATATTAAAGAATGATTTGGTGAGCAAATGAGCTTATTAACAAAAGACCCTCCTCATAAATATATAGCAAAGTAACTTAGCAGCAGTATGATCCATCATCAGTAGCCCAAACAAAAAAAAAAACACAGACCTATGTTATCTCTTCCATAGGAGGCTTTTCTTTATAGCAAAATAATATGGTTGCACTACTTACAAAAATAAGGTTTCCATAACACAAATAAAATTCAACCTTCACAGTGAAGTTTCACACATGAGGCCTTCTCATAAGGAGGCCTACCTCACACTCCCAGGGCTATTCTCCCACTGAGGCGTTCTCTCACACTAAGGTGTTGCTAAGCAACAGGCAAACCTGTTCATATTGAACTGCAGCTTTGCTGAGTCATTGCATCCATTTAACCCTTTCAGTGCTAGACTAACATTTTTGTAATTAAAAATACCTAGTTAATTTTTAATATTTCTGACATGATTTTTGTTCCCATTATACTTTTTCTTTCCCAGGACAACAAAATAATCCCGAAAATATCCCAGTGAAGAAAAACTGTGACTTGCAAACAAGAAACAAAATAGAAAAAAACATAGCCAAGTTGCTTTCCTTAAGTCAGAAAATATACCATTTGATTTGTCATATGGTAAATGTTTTAGCAGGAAGAAGACAGAGAAGGAGACAATGATTTCACTCTTTTGGTGATTTTGTCAGTTATCCAATGGCAGAAGGTATTTTTATTTGTTTCTCTAACCCCACAACTTTTTCCCTAAACATCTTCAATTAATAGACAAATTCTACACAACCTTCCAGCTGATATATAAAGATGCTACAAAAGACAGTCTTCATTAAAAGGTTACTGTGGTTACAAACAAAATCCAATAAATCTCATTTATACTTTGGTATCAATTTTCATTTTTAAATTTTATTTTAAAATTTTTCATTGGAAGCATAGACAGTAGATTCGGCCAGATCCAGCTGTCCACACTTTCAAAACTCTGGAATAATTCCAGAGCTTCCCGAAAGCATTGGAGTAAATGCTGCATCCTCTTCACCCACATTAATGATTGAATGCAGGGCTCCTGTTGCGAATGTAGCCATGCATCAACTGGAAACCCAGCAGCAGCTGAGCAGTGCATCCACAACTATGGCTGTGTAAATATGGTTCAAACTGATGATTTTAAAGTTTGGGAGGATCCCTGTAAGGAAAATAAACTGATCTATCCTGAAGGTCAAGGAAAAGAACTCCAGGGAATGTGATCCTGTAATGCATGGTAATGGAAACAGTGACCAAGATACCACCATCACATCACTCTACAAACACCCATAAAATGTATCTCAGTGGAATAATAATAAAATTCATTGGAAAAGAGAGGTAGAAGCACAGGGTGAAGGGGAAGCAAAATCAAACACGACCAATTACAAGTCTTTAAAAAATAAGGACACTTTATAATTTAGCAACAAAGTACAATATGAAGAATCACAAGAATGGTGTTGTGAAGAAACAAATCTAAAAATGCATTGATTACTATTATTTTTAGCAAACAGTGCAAAAACAACCTCAATTCCACACTGACCATAAGCATGACTGAGACACTATCATTTAAAGGGAACTATGAATATATACTTTGGTTGTGCTCACTCTCATCCTGGGTAAGATCAGCAAGGTTGTTATTGAGTTTTGGTTTTAATTTATTATAATATGCTGTTGGGCTTGGCCTCATGTAAGCCGCCCCGAGTCCCCATTGGGGAGATGGTGGCAGGGTATTAAATAAAGTTTATTATTATAACATTATTATTAACAATGTCCACATGGAAGTGGCTATAAACTCACCGTAATTTGGAATCCTGTCAAACATGGTTACAGGATCTACTGATAAACCCATTACAGAGAAGACTGAATTGTCAGAGCCAGGAGATCTCTAAACTCTCTCCATGGTTACAAAATTAAAAAAAAAATCCATAGACACCTCTAACAGATTTCACCATATTGAATTTTGCTTACCCCATCTTTTGATTCTTTGTTATCAAGCAGCTCAGGAATTCCTTGGGAACCAGAAGGCGCAAGACCGTTTGGGTCTGGCACAGAAAAAACAGGAATGAGAGGCCGAAGAAATCTGAACTCACTGCTCAGGGTTCCATTGGTTAAACACACATCATATGGATAATTCCTGGAAAGTGATCCACTCTGGGAATCAGTACAGTTCTCTGGAATGATAGGTGGAAAGTGAGGAGGAGCAACAATAAAACTGCTGCCATGGTCTTTCTTGCACATCTTGATTCCAACAAAGGAAACAATGAACAGTAGAAAAACAAAAGAGACAGATGCCAGGCAGATTATCAAGTACAGAGTCAAGGTTTCCTGATCTTCAGGGTCCTGCTGACGGACATCCACCACCTTCAGGTAAGGGTCAGAAAAGCCATCCACCAGAAGAACATTGAGCATTGCAGTGCTGGTCTGAGGAGGGACACCATTGTCTCTGACTGCAATAACAAGCCTCTGTTTGTTGGTGTCACGCTCGATCACTGGTCTCCTAGTTTTCACTTCTCCATTCTGGGCTCCTATGCTGAAAAGACCAGGGTCTGTGGCCTTCAGAATTTCATAAGAAAGCCAAGAGTTCTGACCAGAATCTCCATCCACGGCCACAACTTTGGTGACCAAATATCCGGATTCTGCCGTTTTGGGAAGTAGTTCATTACAGGATGATGTGCTGTTCTGAAGGGGATACAGGAAGAAGGGAGCATTGTCATTTTCGTCTATGACAGTGATATGAACAGTAACATCAGAGCTCAGGGAAGGAATACCACCATCAGTTGCCCTCACTGTGGCTTTAAGATCTTTTATAAGTTCGTAGTCCAGAGATCTGAGGGCATAAATATTTCCAGTTTCAGTGTTGATGGAAATGAAAGATGCTACAAAGTCATCATGAATCTTCTCAGGCAAAAGTGAGTAGATCAGTTTGGCATTCTGCTCTGTGTCCAGATCAATAGCATGGACTGAGCCAATCAGCATTCCTGGGATATTATTTTCTCTTATCTTCATTTCAAATAAAGGCTTGTCAAATGTTGGGGAGTTGTCATTGACATCAGAGATTTGCACGTGTATTATTCTTGATGAGGTGAGCCTAGGAGAGCCCCGATCCATGGCTGTGATAGTGACATTATACTCTGTGATTTTCTCTCTATCTAGAGGACTTTGGATGACAAGCTGGTAGTAGTTATTCATGGCCATTGTTAATGCAAATGGGAGGTTCATCTCTACAGAGCAAATTGATTTGCCATTGTCTCCAGAGTCTCGGTCAGTGACACTGAAGAGAGAAACTACTGAATTCAGAGCAGAATCTTCTCGTATGATGTTCTTCAGGGATAAGACAGAAATTTCTGGGGCATTGTCATTCATATCCTCAACTTCCACCAGGACCTTGCAGAGCCCAGAAAGACCCCCTCCATCAGTTGCTTTGATGTTCATATCGTAACTGTTTTCTTTTTCATAATCAATTTCTTCCCATACGGTGATTACTCCTGTATCTTTATCCAAACGAAACAAGTTCTGTGTTTTTTCACTCACCTGATGGAAGGAGTAGGTGATCTTTGCATTTGATCCAAAATCTGTATCTACAGCTTTCACTCTGGTGACTAAAGTACCCCGAGGGCTGTTTTCTTTTAATGTAACTTTGTATTCAGTCTGAGAAAACTGGGGAAAGTTATCATTTATGTCTAGAATGCTCACATTAATCTGAACCGTGCTTGTTTTCTGTGGTTTCCCTCCATCCACAGCTGTAAGAATGAGCTCAAACTCTTCTTGTTTCTCCCTGTCTAAAGGGTTCACCAAACGAAGGTTCAAATATTTGCGTTGGCTATTATCCTCTTCTACTTCCAACTGGAAGTGTTCATTGGGACTAAGGGTGTAATTCTGGACACTATTTCTACCCAAATCTATATCTTGAGCAGATTCCAAAGGCAATAAGGTATTGATGGGAACATTCTCTGGGATTTCAAGTGCAAATTCATCTTTAGAGAACCTTGGAGCATTATCATTCACATCTTCTATCTTTATTTCAATGCTGTAGAACTGTAGTGGGTCTTCCAACACAATTTCTGACAGTAGTAAGCATGGTTCAACCTGGCCACACAAAGCTTCTCTATCGACTTTGTCTTTTATCAGCAGATTCCCGGAGTGTGTATCAAGATGGAAATATTGCTTAGAGCTTTTAGACACAAGCTGAGCTCTGCGAGCAGAGAGCTCTTCATTTCCCAGTTTCAAATCCTTGAGCACATTTGCCACCAGGAACCCAGTCTTCTTCTCTTCAGGCACAGAATAATGAATAGAAATACATATTACTCTAGACACAGAGATCAAAACCAAGAGATACAGACCTGGGCTGTTTTTCAAGCAACCTTCCATGGTCCTACTTCTTCCAGGCTAAAATCTTCTATATACAAGGCTTCAGAATGAAAATTATTTCTGTTTTGTCTTGGCCAACACTCTTATTGTGTTGAATTTTATAGTTCCATCAAAGACAAAGGATCCTGTTCCCATCTCATTCGGTTTTGTCTGAAAATGGCTTTCATACACTTAAGTCAGTGAAAGATTCCAAATGAAAATGAATATGTTGGCAAACACTGCCATCTGGTGGTTCATTCACGAAAATAATATTATGATTGTATATGAGCAACTGTATGGCAGCTCACAGTTTAGTTTTAGATTAGAATGTATGTTATTGAAAGTTCAGCATTTAAAAATGAGGGTATTATTTCCTATCTGTGGATAAAGAAAAAAATAGACCCAACAGAAAATAAACAGAATATATTTTGTTATTTTACTCATGATGCCTATGATCAAGACTATCAACAAACTACACTGCATTTTCATAGAATCATTGTTGTTGCTGCTGTTCATTCGTTCAGTCGTCTCTGACTCTTCATGACCTCATGGACCAGCCCACGCCAGAGCTCCCTGTCGGCCGTCACCACCCCCAGCTCCTTCAAGGTCAGTCCAGTCACTTCAAGGATGCCATCCATCCATCTTGCCCTTGGTCGGCCCCTCTTCCTTTCCCCAGCATAATTGTCTTCTCTAGGCTTTGCTGTCTCCTCATGATGTGGCCAAAGTACTTCAACTTTGTCTCTAGTATCCTTCCCTCCAATGAGCAGTCGGGCTTTATTTCCTGGAGGTGGACTGGTTGGATCTTCTTGCAGTCCAAGGCACTCTCAGAACTTTCCTCCAACACCACAGTTCAAAAGCATCTATCTTCCTTTGCTCAGCCTTCCCTAAGGTCCAGCTCTCACATCCGTAGGTTACTACAGGGAATACCATGGCTTTGACTATGCGGATCTTTGTTGCCAGTGTGATGTCTCTACTCTTTACTATTTTATCGAGACTGGACATTGCTCTCCTCCCAAGAAGTAAGCGTCTTCTGATTTCCTGGCCACAGTCTGCATCTGCAGTAATCTTTGCCCCTAGAAATACAAAGTCTGTCACGGCCTCCACATTTTCTCCCTCTATTTTCCAGTTGTCAATCATTCTTGTTGCCATAATCTTGGTTTTTTGATGTTTAGCTGCGGCTTTTGCGCTTTCTTCTTTCACCTTGATTAGAAGGCTCCTCAGCTCCTCCTCGCTTTCGGCCATCAGAGTGGTGTCATCTGCATATCTGAGGTTGTTAATGTTTCTTCCAGCAATTTTCACCCCAGCTTTGCATTCATCAAGCCCCGCACATCACATGATGTGTTCTGCATACAAGTTAAAAAGGTTGGGTGAGAGTACGTAGCCTTGCCGGATGCCTTTCCCAATCTTGAACCAGTCTGTTGTTCCGTGGTCAGTTCTTACTGTTGCTGCTTGGTCCTTGTACAGATTCCTCAGGAGAAAGACAAGGTGGCTTGGTATGCCCATCCCACCAAGAACTTGCCACAATTTATTATGATCCACACAGTCAAAGGCTTTAGAATGGTCAATGAAGCAGAAATAGATGTTTTTCTGAAACTCCCTGCCTTTCTCCATTATCCAGCGGATATTGGCAATCTGGTCTCTCGTTCCTCTGCCTTTTCTAAACCCAGCTTGAACATCTGGCAACTCTCGCTCCATGTATTGCTGGAGTCCTCCTTGCAGGATCTTGAGCATTACCTTACTGGCATGAGAAATAAGAGCCACTGTACGGAAGCTTGAGCAGTCTTTTGCATTTCCCTTTTTTGGTATGGGGATATAAATTGATTTTTTCCAGTCTGATGGCCATTCTTGTGTTTTCCATATTTGCTGGCATATGGCATGCATCACCTTGACAGCATCATATTTTAAGATTTTAAACAGTTCAGCTGGGATCCCGTCATCTCCTGCTGCCTTGTTGTTAGCAATGCTTCTTAGAATCATAGAATAATAGAGTTGGAAAGGACCACATGGGCCATGTAGCTCAATCCCCTGCCATACAGGAAATGGACTATCAAAATAGCACTGATAGATGGCCATCCTGCCTCACAACAACATGTTGTGCTTGCTATAGTACAAAGTTCTTTTCTGAAAGATAATGGCATCAAGTTCACACACTGACTGACCTGACTTCAAATATCCCTTATACAAAAGCTTCATCTTTCCTTGGCCCCAAGATACAGCAAAAAGTAACGTAATAAATTTAATAGTCTGAATAAAAATAACATGCTAAGGTTTTTTTTTTAAAAAATCCAATGGAATCATTATTAAGGATTAAAAAAGGGAAGGGAATCATGGGAATCAGGGTTGTGTTGTCTTCCCATATAGTATGATATATGTCCTTGGCTAAGGCAAAGAATTGCTGGGTCTCACTGTGATTCTAGTCAGGGCCTGGATGGAAGCTCAGAAGGAAATGCACACTTACTATCTCAAATTTCATGAAAACAGGAAATGACAATAACAACATGGGAGTCAGATGCTCCAGTGGGCAGCCACACAGGAACTACTACCCTAGAAAATCCCCTAGCACATCTTCTTTTTGAGCAAGCTATACAACTTTGAGTGAGGTTCTATATATGCATAGAAGATTTATTGTACTTGGAGTGCTGGCAGTTTTCATTATGACTACACATAACCCAGGGCAGGGGGGGGGGATAACATAAGGTGGGGAGGTTTAGTTTTTTTCTTTCCAAGCTAAGTCTGGTTGGGTGCCATTTCTGAGCTATTTTTATTTCCTATAAAATCTGTTCTTCCCAGAGATTTAGCGAAAATTGCTATTCTGACATGGGAAGTCTGCGAGGTGATAGCTGAATACCTTTGGATCTCTTTATTATCCCTTGCACCTGCTCCTGAAAAGATGAGGACACAGGAGACATAACCACCAGCTAAATATGCAAGTCCCATGTAGTGAGGGAGCCTTAACATTCTTATGGTTCACTTTATGGCCATGTGTTATTTCTTAATGCAACATACTGTTACACAATGTGTTAGATAATGTACATTTCCTATGTGATGTCCTTTTCTTTATATAGCACATTGTGCACGTTATTATGTAAGAAATTATATTGTATCCTTTAGGTAGTTCATGAATATTCCAGATTTTTTGTTGTTGTTCATTCGTTCAGTCGTTTCCAACTCTTTGTGACCTCATGGACCAGCCCATGCCACAGCTCCTTGTCGGCTGCCACCACCCCCAACTCCTTCAAGGTCAATCCAGTCACTTCAAGGATCCCATCTATTCATCTTGCCCTTGGTCAGCCCCTCTTCCCTTTTCCTTCTATTTCCCCCAGCATAATTGTCTTCTCTAAGCTTTCCTGTCTCCTCATGTGGCCAAAGTACTTCATCTTTGCCTCTACTATCCTTCCCTCCAATGAGCAGACGGGCTTTATTTCCTGAAGTATGGAGTGGTTGGATCTTCTCGCAGTCTAAGGCACTCTCAGAACTTTCCTCCAGCACCACAGTTCAAAAGCATCTATTCCAGATTTATCAATGTATATATGAGCAGGTCAGAAGTAGTACATAAATCTGAGGAAACATAGTTTCCACTATGATAATATTTAAAGAAAATATCTACCATTGTCCATCATAAGATTACAAGTCCCCTTTAAAATATGTCATGGCCACACAGCCACTCAGCCACACTTTGTTCACTCTCAATGTAAATTAGAATAATCAAAATGAGACTGCATGCCCCTTTGTAAAATGACAGTCAATTACAGTGCTTAAACCTCTGTTTGCAATTCCATCTCAGCCTCTGATTCTCAGATAGTTGTCTGACATCATCTATGAACAGAAGTGATTTGAGAAATCTGTGTTCCTGGAAGTTTCACAATGACCCAAATAGTTCTTGTTTTGGTGTAGCATATTTATTTTTTCTAACTGCAACTATTAGTATATCACCACCATCCCATTGTTGTGAGCTGCTCTGAGTCCCCTCGAGGAGAGGGGCGGGATAGAAATAAAGTTTTAATATTAATAATAATAATAACCCCACTCGTCCAGCATTTATCGTATTTCTTTGACTCAGATACCACTGATTGTAAAGTGCACACGAATTTCAGGGCCTTAACCAACAAAACAACATCTAGGAAGTACCTGTGATTTTAAAATATACCCAATATATGGTGGGGAAAGTGTGTCTTAGAATCTAAGAAATGCAGTAGCATGAGGTCTCCTTGATCAAGATTATAGCAGATCTAGTCAAGTATAGATCACGTTGTAAATGGAAAAACCTGATCAAAATTAATTATTAGCATTGTTACAATGTCACAGATTGGAAACAAAACATTCACAGTACTAGTTACACTTCAAGAGTACAGGAACATATATGTTGACTATATATATAGAAAAACGGAAACACTCACAGGAAGTGAAGAAATGACTTACAATATAAATTTAAAATGAAGAACAGCTTTAAATAAAAATCTCACCTCATTCTTTTCTTCTTTGTTTATAATCGAGTCAGAGATTTCTTGAGAACTAGAAGATATCCTTTGATTCACAGGAATGTTTGGATCCGCCACCGAAAAAACAGGAATGAGAGGCCGAAGAAATCTGAAATCACTGGTCAGGGATCCATTGGTTAAACACACATCATATTGATAATTCCTGGAAAGTGAGCCACTCTGGGAATCTGTACAGCTCTCTGGAATAGCAGGTGGAAAATGAGGAGGAGCAACAATAAAACTGCTTCCATGGTCTTTCTTGCACATTTTGATGCCAACAAAGGAAGCAATGCAAAGTAGAAACACAAAAGAGACAGATGCCAGGCAGATCACCAAATACATGGTCAAGGTTCCCTCATCTTCAGGGTCCTGTTGACGGACATCCACCACCTTCAGGTAAGGATCAGAAAAGCCATCCACCAGAAGTACATTGAGTGTTGCAGTGCTGGTCTGAGGAAGGACACCACTATCTTTGACCACAATAACAAGCCTTTGTTTGCTAGAGTCACGTTCTGTCAGTGGTCTCCTGGTTTTCACCTCTCCGTTCTGGGCTCCGATGCTGAAAAGACCAGGGTCCGTGGCTTTCAGAATGTCATAGGAGAGCCAAGAGTTCTGACCAGAATCTCCATCCACGGCCACCACTTTGGTGACCAAGTAGCCAGCCTCTGCCATTTTGGGGAGCAATTCATTGTAGGGTGATGTGCTGTTTTGAAGGGGATACAGGAAAAAAGGAACGTTGTCATTTTCGTCTATGACCACAACTCGCACAAAAGCATCAGCGCTCAGAGGAGGATTACCGCCATCTGTAGCTCGCACAGTGATCTTGAAATCTTTAATTTGCTCATAGTCAAGAGATCGGAGGGCATATATGTTTCCAGTTTCAGAGTTTATGGAGATATAAGAGGCTGCAGGGCTAGTACCAATCTCT